TTTAGTTTTTTACCAACTAATTTTTATTTATTTTTTTAAACTAATTTATACTTTGCACGTGTCTAAAGATTTATAGGCTCCAAGAACAGAAAATTAATGCATTCAGATTAAAAAAACAACATATCTTTACTGATCAACGTCATTACAATTTCTACAGTCTTGTATTAATTTGTAGTGATTGTATGTGTATAAATTATTAGTTCTATATATTTTTATTTCTATGATATATCATGTTTTGGAATTAGGTGTCATGGGGCAAGGTTTTGTGGCAAAGTCGTTAACCATAGAGAACTCAGCGGGCCCACAGAATCACCAAGCTGCTGCATTATACAATACAGTAGATCAATCGGCCTTTTTATAACTGCATATTCCTTGGCTACCAAGACACCCTCTATGCAAAGGAAACCCGCCAATTCTACAAAGACTGCAAAATCTACGGCACTGTCGACTTCATCTTTGGCCACGCTAAACCCGTCTTCCAAGACTGTCACATCTACGCTCGTCCGGAAACCTTAATCACCATCACCGCCCAAAACCGAGCAAGCGATAGTGAGATCAATGGCTTCTCTTTCCAAGGCTGTCATGTGGAAGCCGCTCCAGGGCTAACACCGCCGCAAAGTGGGAACGCCGCTCCGGGGCTAACCCCGCCGCAAAGGGCAAACTTGAGAGTCTTTCTCGGTCGTCCGTGGGATAGGTACTCGACGGTGATTTTCATGCAGAGCATTTTCAATGACATTGTGGACCCCCAAGGGTGGATGGAGTGGCCCGGAGTTCCCGTCGATCACTTGCATTACGCCGAATACGACAATAGCGGTCTCGGTGCCGACACTTCAAAGAGAGTGAATTGGAAAGGTTACCATGTCGTCAAGAAGTGGATGAAAGTTGATTGGTTTACGGTGGCCAAGTTTATTGATGGGAATAGCTGGTTACCTGAAACTAGTGTACCTTATAGGGGTGGATTACGTAGTGTAAGTTGATCACTCGGAGTTATAAGAAATTATAAGTTCAATAAGGGGTTATTTGGTCATGTAAATAATTAAGATTAGTATTAAAACCGTGGTAGATCCTAAATAAGTTTATGTTATTAAATTAAGCAGTATGTTGTCTAGTTGTTAATAGGTCTATGTTTTTTGCATTAATTTTAGTGATCTTTATTATAGGGATTTCAAATTTCACTATATTTATATATCAATAGGTACTTATTTATCTCTCGTGTTTTTACTCTTATTTTTTGTTTTTTTGGGTTTTTCTGGATGCAACTTTGTGAACTCTGCATTTGCAAGATATCTAAAAATGATTATATGCGCAGATTAATTACAAGTTAATCAGACACAAATACAATCCAATCTAGAATTTATGTCTATATAATAACGGCAATTAACCGACTACACTCGCTAATTTGTTACAAAATGATTGAATCCGAGTTATATACCGAAAATGCAATTAAGTTTACACTTGAATCAAGGTATGGCTACATAAAAACCATATTCTATATTGAAATTGAACCTGCGAGCACTGCAGTTCTTGCTCGCTTGAATAGTCCTGGATTTTCGATTTTTCAATTTTCACCCAGTAGATTTTCATTTTTTTTTCAAATATACCCCCTTATGCCCCTTTGATTTTTGGTTTTTCAATTTTCACTCTATAGATTTTCAAATTATTTTTAAAATCTTATACTTTTTGGTGTAACCTAATTGAATTATTTTTCTTTAATTTACTATGGTTTTTTTTTTAAATTTGTCCATTTTAATATATTTTTTCATGTAATCTTTTTATATGTATCGAAAGTGAGCCTCACAAGAATAATTTAAATGACCTTTTAAAATTACATTTCCAAAATGTATTCCTAATTAAGCATTTTTTTCAAACAAAATAGCTTATCTAAAGTCCCCTTGTCGAAGTTATGAACACCGTTTTTTTCCAATTATTTTTTTAAATTAAACACTTCAAAATTTTAATTCACTTATCAAAAATTCAATAAACTGATCAATATACACGTGTAAAACATGCTTCTAATTAGTTAAAAGTATTAATATTATTAGTGTTTATAACATTCTTCACATTTTTAAGTTATACTCTTCTAAAATAAAATTCTAACTCCACCACTTTATATATATATATATATATATAGTCTCTCATGAATCTTACTTGAGATAGATTTGCGAGTGATGAAAGAAAAGAAACTAATCTCAAATAACAATTGGTTTGCTGAATTTTGATGCAAGATACGTGGGAAAGAAAGAAGGCTTATGGACATGCTAAAAATGTGCCTTGAATGTCGTTTGGTGCTATGTGAAAAAACGACATTAACTGTATATGACACGATTTTGCTAAATGCTGAACTTTGATGAAATAAGAAGAACAGAAAAAAAGAAAAAGGAATCTGTACATTCTCCAGGAGAAGAATCCGTTTTTGGGCTAGGCCATGTGAAAACGTTTCGTCATTTTTGGGCTAAGCCATGTGAAAACGTTTCGTCGTTTTTGGGCTAGGCCATGTGAAAACGTTTCGTCTATTTTCATCCCTCCGACTCTTCCCATTTATTCCAGTTTTTTTTCCTTTTTTTTTATCTTTTCTTTTTTGTCTTCCTATCTTTTTTCTATTTGCATTTTGATATCTTTTTTCTTTTGTATTGCCTCTCACTTTTCTATTTATTGGTTCTTTTTTAAAAAATTTTATGGGTACGTTTAAAACTCGTTCTAAAATAATTTTATTTTTTGTATAAAAATAAAAATAAAAATATTTTTAATTTTAGACATAAATTATTTTTTAAAATGTGTTTAGTAATTTTATCAAAAAATTATTTTCAGTATAAAAAAATCTAATAATGTCTCTTGAAAGAGAAAAAAATACAAATAAAATATGAAAAATGATTAAAAATCTTTTTTTTTCTCCCATTTTACACTAAATTAAAAAATCATTTTTATTTTTATTTTTTGTCTTTAATTATACCAAACGCCATTTCTCTCTCGTTTTTATTTTTTCTTTCTCAAAAAACGTAAAAAAACAAAAATGTAAGAACAAATCTAACACCAAAGACTCGAGAAACCACAAAACAGAATCAAGAAAACCCAAAGAAAACAACACCAAGGTTTACCCAGGTTCGGTAGAAAATTCTACCTACGTCCTGCTGAGCTCCTCCACAAGAGAGCTTGATTCACTATTCAAGAAGAAGAATTACACCCTCTTTACCTCACCAGATTACAACAATCAGAGAAACTCCAATATTCTAGAAACTACCGAGAAATCCCATAAGTGTTTCCCAGAAAATCCCACAGAGAAAAATTCCTCTATTTACACTTGATTTTCTCACAACCCAAACACTTTTCTCTCTACAGATTTCCCTCTCTCTCACTAGAATTTACACAAGATGGTTTCTCTCTCTACAACCGTAATCTCTTGAAGAACTGAAGAACTCCTTCTCTGGAAGTGTTTTCAGCTTATATAAACAGAGAGAAAGAGGATGCTTAAGGCGGTGGGTGTAGCAACACACGTGTCATCCTCTCACTGGTTGCTTCTAGTTCTCTTAATAAAACACTGCGTTTTATCCTTGACTGATGGATGAAAAACGACTTGTAGCATGCACCTATCAACAAGTACCAGGAATGTCGTTTCTTCATTTCTTCTTCTTATTTCTATTAGTGTTGATTCCAGAGATTACTCTCACAAAAAACAACTCCAAACACAACTCCAAACACCACCTATATATTTTAATATCCACTTTATTTTTTTTTTCCTTAGTTTATTTCCTTGCAACGTTTTGTATGTTTTTCTACTCAAACTCAACGTAGGAAACATTTTTTTTTAACGTTTCATTTCTTTTTTGCTTTCTTTTATTTTTTTTCCCCTATTTGTGAGTTTCATTCGTTCCCTCTTTCCCCATTTATTCCATTTTTTTTACATTTTTGTTTTCTCTCTTTTGTTTGTTGATCTTTTCTTTTTTGCCTCCTTTCTTCTTTATTTGCATCTTTTGATCTCTTTTTTTTAATTATTATTTTCTCACTTTTCAATTTCTTGGGTTGTTTCTCCACAAATACTTTATATATTTTAATATCACTTTATTATTTTTTCCCTTTGTTTGTTTTCCTTGCGGGATTTTGTGCGTTTCTCCCCTCAACGTAGGAAACGCTTTTTTTTCTCTTCCTTTATTATTGTTTCACTAAAATCCAGTCGTAAATGACAAAGACCAAATTGAAATATTATTAACACAGATCTTTTTAGTATTATACCTTTTGAGTGCTTTATAGATAGAAATACACATGGAATAAAATGTTTGTCTTTCACAAGGTTAGGCTAAGGATCCTTGGTCGTACTAAAATCATTTCTTCAAATCAAGCGAGTGAATACACGATGGGAATTATTAGTGGAAAAAATAAGTAGACGTTTAGTTCATAGAGTCAGAACTAAAATTTAGAACTATTCTCATTTTGTGTGTATTTTTTGTAAGAGAATATACTGTAGCGAGTCTCGAACAATGATTCGAACCATAACATGAATCTCCTTTCAAAATGTAAAGATAATTTTCAGAAAATATTACAATTTAAGAGGTGATTGGATACATTGTTTCGTTATTTTAACATAATATCGAAAACAACCTGTAACACGATATATTAGGAGCCATAAGCATTGCTTAGAATAATGTGTTCGATGATATGGTATCCCATATTTTTACGCAATATCACAAACGCAAGATAAATAATGATATATGTTAAGTAATAATGAGACACTTAAAAAATCATTTGGTTTATGAAAAGTTTAAAAAGAAATACTCTCTTTATATTGGGATGGATTTAAGTTGATTAATGGAGAATTTGTAAAAGAGATTCTGATTGCAATATATATATAAACCCGCAAGCGTATAGTGTCAAGTTTTGATAGTAAAGGATGTGTGAATATCGTTTCCATAAAAATTAGGTATTAGATTACTGTTAAGTACCGTGATTATCATAACTCAATTTTATCTAGGCAACCTAATTGAGAGAACAAACTAATTAAAACAGTAAAAGAAAACTAATAAAACAAGTAAAAAGAGGTAGATCGAAGGAAACTTTATAATAAAAGCTAGTTAGGAGTTTTGATTGAGAGAACAAACTAAATAAAACAATAAAAGTAAACTAACAAAACAAGTAAAAAGAGGTGGATCGAAGAGAACTTTATAATAAAAGCTAGTTAGTTTTGATTTCATCTCACTAGACAATATCTATCTAAATCAAGAGCTTGTTAAGAAATTTCACTCTAATTATTAATCATGAGTTTTCTAAAGTAATCTCACTCTCTCTCCCGAGTGCCGAGCAAAATAATACGCAAAATAAATCAAGTAATATCCCTATTAAATCAATCCATTAAGGGTTCATTAAGCATAAACTCATTTAGTGATTACCCAAATTATATTGGCCTCCCGAACTTGATAAACTTAGGTTGTGTTTCTCAAATTCCAATATGTGCAAATGACTTTCTCAAGACTAAATCCACATATCTAAATCTCTAATTTAATGGATAATCAAATTAGACAATAAGCATAGAGAAAACACAAAGGATTAGAAATGAATTTAATTAACAAGCACTAGAAATTTCAAAACATTGCCATGATAAAGTTACATCAATCCTCTCTAACATAAGAAATCTAGCTCAACATAGAGAAATCCATAACTAATCTTATCAAGAAATCCATAAATGAAAATATGTTCAACAAAATATCCACAAATATAAATCTCAAGAAAGAGTAGGTTGAGAGAAAGGAAGAAGGAACTCTTGTGGAGATTAACTTCAAGTTTGAATCCTCTAAGAATCCACCATGAATCCTCCAAAAATCTTCAACTCAAGCTCCTCTCTCTATGAATCTTAGCTCTCTATCCTGTGTTTCCTTCCCAATTCTCCACCCTTTTGGGAAAATGAGTATTCTCCCCTTTTATATCTTTCTAAATCTACTCAAATTGACAACATTTCATATGGAGGCACTGCAGCGGATAAATTTCCCGCATCCGCTGCAGCGCCGCTAAGGATTTTGTAAAAGCCCTAGCGAAACTGGCACAATCACTGCAGTGAATGGATTCTCAGCTGCAACGGGTGTGTGGTTTTCCTGTTCTCGGGCAGGAAATTCGCTGCAGTGGATGGATTTCCCGCTACAGCAGGTGTACAAATTTTTTATGAGGATTTTTGCTTTCTAAATGGTTGAATTAGTGTTTGGTTCTTCACGAAAGTTGTAGCTCTATCTCTTATATTTTCAACGCCATTAAAATCACCTCATTTGGATTTCGGATGAGAGAGTTATGTTCCAAACACTGTAATATTAAAAAAAAGGGAAAAAAAAAGAAAGAAAGAATGAAAGTGGCAAAGCATGAAAAGTTTTGTCAAGTAAAAATAGTTATTGCAACAATGGCGCATCATAACTATATTAGGATGCATGATCAGCGTGATCAACATTTTCAAGAAGTGGAGGCTAATCTAGATGTTTTCGCTTATGAAGAGCATCAACTGGAGGATAATGTAGAAGAAGATGAAGCTTCACTATCACAAGAAATGGTTGAAGTACGAGATCAGATTGCGACAAGTTTAATGAACACGGTTTAATTCTTTTGATGGCTCTGTGACTTTTTGAACATGGAATGTACTTTTTTGTTCACAAATTGATTACTCACTAATACTCCTTGTAGTGAGTAATCAATTTGTATACTTTTGTATAACGAAACAATTTATAATGATTTAGGAATCATATACTTTTTTCTTTTTGTAATATACTTTATTATTACTATCTCTGTGTGAATTATAATTAATTATCATGAAAAAAAAGAATTAATTATCATAAATTTATTGTTAAAAAAAGTAAAATCATAGCATTATGTTTTTTTAAAGTTAAATAAATATTTCTAAATATTAAAAACAATTATATATATTTAACTTTCATACCATGTCTATTTTGGTCATTTTACATACCCACAGCAATTCTACATCAAAATTTACCAAACGCTATTACACTGATTTTAGAACCAGCACAGCTACTATAATTACAATTTACCAAACACTCAGCGGATTCTTGTAACAGCAGCTTCTTTCTTCAGCATAGCTAAAAGTAATTAATCTAAAATCCGCAGCAATACCAAACTAAGCCTATATCCACAAACATATAATTAGGAAAGTTGCCTAAACGATCAAATTGGGAAATCTCCTAACATAAATTAAATAAACGATAAGATCAAAATATTGAAAAAGGTAACTAATGTTTACTTTCCCTAACAATACCAATGGTTTTCATCTATAAATGTAGCATCTTAACGATCTCATGACTCACAAAATATTCAAGCCTTTCATTCACACGTATAATCAATACTACGTTATTATAGCTTCCTCAAAAATGGGTTCATCTTCCTCAAAAAATACGACGTGTTTTCTAGTGTTGCTCATGTTGTTGTTCATCATGCAATATGCCAAAACGACACATTGTGCAACCATCCCTTTTAACGTAATTGTTCAAAAAGATAATTCAGGCAATTTTACCACAGTGAGCGACGCAGTAAAAGCAGCCCCCAAGAACAGCAAGACACGCTACATGATCAGAATCAAACCGGGGAGGTACAAAGAGCGCGTCGAAATTGAATCGGATTTGACATACATCAGTCTAATAGGAGACGATGTAACAACAACGATCATCACCTTTGACCGCAGCAATGGTTCAGGATTCAAAACTAATGAAACGGGAACACTGAGTAAGAATATTTGTCAACTCTCTTATTAAACATTATATATATATTTTTTCCTTTTTTGCTAGTTTATTAACGTTGCAGTTTAATTTCTTAAATTCGTCTCACACTCCCATCCTTTCTAGTTTAGTTTTTTACCAACTAATTTTTATTTATTTTTTTAAACTAATTTATATACTTTTCACGTGTCTAAAGATTTATAGGCTCCAAGAACAGAAAATTAATGCATTCAGATTAGAAAAACAACATATCTTTACTGATCAACGTCATTAATATTTCTACAGTCTTGTCTTAAACATAACCCTAAAGACATATATGTTTACAATATATGACCTAGTTCACTGTATTCCACATGGCACGAAGGCAGCACCGATATGCATCGATTGCCGCCGAAGAGCCTACTACCTAATAGCGCCCCATGGCCTCTGTTGAAAAGTCAGGACTTGTTGTCTCTGTTGCCTTTCTTTCGGCTTATGGTTATATACCCTTGCTAGCTTATAAGAAGTTGACATTGGTTCTAACGGTGGCAGCTGCGGAATCTGCTATTGGGTTAGCCATTTTCGTTATTACTTTCCGAGTCCGAGGGACTATTACTGTAGAATTTATTAATAGCATTCAAGATTAAAGATGACTCCTAGAGAATTACCAAAATACGAAGTTCTCTTCTTTCTTTTTTTTTTTACTTGGTTGGCAGGGTCAGGGCCTTTCTCGCTGGGCGAGCGCATCCGATGAAAAAGTCCTTTCCTAAACGTTCAGTTGCTGAAAAATAGAGATAAGCTTTCAAAATGAGATTGACTTCTAGCTGCTCTCTGCCCCGCATGAATGAGAAAGAAGGTGGGTGCTTGTTGCCACTTTATTAGTAAGTAAGCTTGTTTTATATCAATAAAGGCGAAAGCTTTTATAATTATAGTTGTAAGGCAACAAAGCAACGACTTTCGCGCAAGTTAGCACTTTCTTTTGAAATAAGTTGTAGCTTTACTAATTAATAACATAAGCTTTTTAATCAGGGTGCGCAGGTTTGGAACCCTATACAAGGGGCGTTTCCTTTCAAATGACAACTGCCTCTTCCTGCTGCGAGGGCGTTGCACGAAACCAAACCGCCCGATGATGGAATTTCTTCTTCGATACCACTTTATGCATCTAATTTATTCCAAGATTGGTTCATTATAACCACTTGATCGACAGAATAGGTGGGAAGATGGAGTGAAGTTAGTCGATAGCTCCCATCGTTCCAGGGTTCGAAGGTCTGGATCCAAGGTCAAATAAGAATGTTTTGCTAATGCGGCCGGGGATAAATGTGAACTAACAAAAAGGGAGTTGGATCCGGGCCAAGGATCAACTATTCCATTTATGGTTAGCGGATAGTCTTTTTCTAAGCTCACCCTCCAGCCCTAGCCTTAGCAAGGAGGCAGCAAAGAGAGAGCCTTTCCAGCATCTCGGGAATTGTTTGCCGCTTCGCACCTTGACGTTCTCCCCGTTCGGGAGAGGACGGGAAGCATCTCTAGCTCAACAATTCGAATATTCTTTTGAGAAGGCCTCGGGGCTAAAGGGGGTGTTAAGACTAACCCAAAGCGGGTGAGAGCGATTCAACAGAGCCCTATACAAAGAATTTTATTTTCTTCTCTTTGGTCGATTCCTGCATACAAGGTAAGAGTTGTAGCTTTAGAATCGAATGTAGCCTTTAAAAAGGCGTATATTTTCATTTGATATTTATTTGTAGTGGTTGTATGTGTATAAATTATTAGTTCTATATATTTTTTATTTCTATGATATATCATGTTTTGGAATTAGGTGTTATGGGGCAAGGTTTTGTTGCAAAGTCGTTAACCATAGAGAACTCGGCGGGCCCACAGAATCACCAAGCTGCTGTATTATACAATACAGCAAATCAATCGGCCTTTTATAACTGCATATTCCTTGGCTACCAAGACACCTTCTACGCAAAGGAAAACCGCCAATTCTACAAAGATTACAAAATCTACGGCACTGTCGACTTCATCTTTGGCCATGCTAAAGCCATCTTCCAAGACTGTCACATCTACGCTCGTCCGGAAACCTTAATCACCATCACCGCGCAAAACCGAGCAAGCGATAGTGAGGTCAATGGCTTCTCCTTCCAAGGCTGTCATGTGGAAGCCGCTCCAGGGCTAACACCGCCGCAAAGGGCAAACTTGAGAGTCTTTCTCGGTCGTCCGTGGGATAGGTACTCGACGGTGATTTTCATGCAGAGCATTTTCGATGACATTGTGGACCCCCAAAGGTGGACGGAGTGGCCTGGAGTTCCCGTCGATCACTTGTATTACGCTGAATACGACAATAGCGGTCTCGGTGCCGACACTTCAAAGAGAGTGAATTGGAAAGGTTACCATGTCGTCAAGAAGTGGATGGAAGATGATTGGTTTACGGTGGCCAAGTTTCTTGATGGGAATAGCTGGTTACCTGAAACTGGTGTACCTTATAGGAGTGGATTACGTATTGTAAGTTGATCACTCGGAGTTATAAGAAATTATAAGTTCAATAAGGGGTTATTTGGTCATGTAAATAATTAAGATTAGTATTGAAATCATGGTAGATCCTAAATAGGTTTATGTTATTAAATTAAGCAGTACGTTGTCTAGTTGTTAATAGGTTTATGTTCAGTGATCTTTATTATAGGGATTTCAAATTTCACTATATTTATATATCAATAAGTACTTGTTTATCTCTCGTGTTTTTACTCTTATTTTTTTGTGTTTTTGGGTTTTTCTGGATGCAACTTTGTGAACTCTGCATTTGCAAGATATCTAAAAATGATTATATGTGTAGATTAATTACAAGTTAATCAGACACAAATACAATCCAATCTAGAATTTATGCCTATATAATAACGGCAATTAACCGACTACACTCGCTAATTTGTTACAAAATGATTGAATCCGAATTATATACCGAAAATGCAATTAAGTTTACACTTGAATCAAGGTATGGCTACATAAAAACCATATTCTATATTGAAATTGAACCTACGAGCACACTCTATAGATTTTCAAATTATTTTTAAAATCTTATACTTTTTGGTGTAACCTAATTGAATTATTTTTCTTTAATTTACTATGATTTTTTTTTTAAATTTGTCCATTTTAATATATTTTTTCATATAATCTTATTATATGTATCGAAAGTGAGCCTCACAAGAATAATTTAAATGACCCCTTAAAATTACATTTCCAAAATGTATTCCTAATTAAGCATTTTTTTCAAACAAAATATCTTATCTAATTTCCCCTTGCCGAAGTTATGAACACCGTTTTTTTCCAATTATTTTTTTAAATCAAACACTTCAAAATTTTAATTCACTTATCAAAAATTCAATAAACTGATCAATATACACGTGTAAGACATGCTTCTAATTAGTTAAAAGTATTGATATTATTAGTGTTTATAACATTCTTCACATTTTTAAGTTATACTCTTCTAAAATAAAATTCTAACTCCACCACTTTATATATATATATATATATATAGTCTCTCATGAATCTTACTTGGGATAGATTTGCGAGTGATGAAAGAAAAGAAACTAATCTCAAATAACAATTGGTTTGCTGAATTTTAATGAAATGTGCCTTGAATGTCGTTTGGTGCTATATGACACACGACACGATTTTGCTAAATGCTGAACTTTGATGAAATAAGAAGAAGAAAAGAAAAAAAGAAAAAGGAATCTGTACATTCTCCAGGAGAAGAATCCGTTTTTGGGCTAGGCCATGTGAAAACGTTTCGTCTATTTTCATCTCTCCAACTCTTCCCATTTATTCCAGTTTTTTTCCTTTTTTTATCTTTTCTTTTTTGTCTTCCTATCTTTTTTCTCTTTGCATCTTTTGATCTCTTTTTTCTTTTGTATTGCCTCTCACTTTTCTATTTATTGGGTTCCCCCCTAAAAAATCTTATGGGTGCGTTTGAAACTCGTTTTAAAATGATTTTATTTTTTGTATGAAAAAAAAAATGAAAACGTTTTTAATCTCAGACATAAATCATTTTTAAAAATGTGTTTAGTAGTTTTATCAAAAGATTATTTTCAGTATAAAAAAATCTAATAATGTCTCTCTCTCTGTGCTCGAGAGAGGAAAAAACAGAAACAAAATATGAAAAACGACTAAAAGTTTTTTTTCATTTCTCTCATATTTTACACTAAAACTAAAAAATCATTTTCATTCCCGTTTTCATTTTTTTTTTCTCAAAAAACGTAAAAAATAAAAACAACTCCAAACACAACCTATATATTTTAATATCCACTTTATTATTTTTTTTCCTTAGTTTATTTCCTTGCAACGTTTTGTATGTTTTTCCACTCAAACTCAACGTAGGAAACATTTTTTTTTTAGCGTTTCATGTCTTTTTTGCTTTCTTTTAATTTTTTCCCCTATTTGTGAGTTTCATTCGTTCCCTCTTTCCCCATTTATTCCATTTTTTTACATTTTTGTTTTCTCTCTTTTGTTTGTTGATCTTTTCTTTTTTGTCCTCCTTTCTTCTTTATTTGCATCTTTTGATATCTTTTTTTTATTATTATTTTCTCACTTTTCAATTTCTTGGGTTGTTTCTCCACAAATACTTTATATATTTTAATATCACTTTATTATTTTTTCCCTTTGTTTGTTTTCCTTGCGGGATTTTGTGCGTTTCTCCCCTCAACGTAGGAAACGCTTTTTTTTCTCTTCCTTTATTATTGTTTCACTAAAATCCAGTCGTAAATGACAAAGACCAAATTGAAATATTATTAACACAGATCTTTTTAGTATTATACCTTTTGAGTGCTTTATAGATAGAAATACACATGGAATAAAATGTTTTTCTTTCACAAGGTTAGGCTAAGGATCCTTGGTCGTACTAAAATCATTTCTTTCCATCAAGCGAGTGAATACACGATAGGAATTATCGGCCCGTTAGTGGAAAAAATAAGTAGACGTTTAGTTCATAGATTCAGAATCATAATTTAGAATTATTCTAGTTTTACGTGTATTTTTTTGAGAAAAAATATTGTTGCGAGTCACAAACCATGATTCGAACCATGACACGAATCTCCCTACCAAACATAAAGATAATTTTCAAAAAATATTACAATTTAAGAGGTGATTGGATACGTCGTTTTATCATTTTAACATAATACTGAAAACAGCCTACATAAACGCGAGTGAGTATTAAACGGTGGGTCGTCGATATTGTTCTGTAACACGATAGATTAGGAGCCTTAAGCATTGCTTAGAATAATGTGTTCGATGATATTGTATCCCATATTTTTACGCAATATCACAAACGCAAGATAAATAATGATATATGTTAAGTAATAATGAGACACTTACAAAATCATTTTGTTTATAAAAAGTTCAAAAAGAAATACTCTCTTTATATTGGGATGGATTTAAGTTGATTAATGGGGAATTGGTAAAAGAGATTATGATTGCAAAATATATATGTATAAACCCGTAAGCGTACAGTGTCAAATTTTGATAGTAAAGGATGTGTAAATATTGTCTTCACAGAGATTGGGTATTAGATTGCTGCTAAGTACCGCAATTATCAGAACTCAACTTTATCTAGGCAACTTAATTAAGAGAACAAACTAATTAAAATAATAAAAGTAAACTAATAAAACAAGTAAAAAGAGGTGGATCAAAGGAAACTTTATAATAAAAGCTAGTTAGGAGTTTTGATTGAGAGAACAAACTAATTAAAACAATAAAAGTAAACTAATAAAATAAGTAAAAAGAGGTGGATCGAAGGAAACTTTATAATAAAAGCTAGTTATGGGTTTTGATTGAGAGAACAAACTAATTAAAACAATAAAAGTAAACTAATAAAATAAGTAAAAAGAGGTGGATCGAAGGAAACTTTATAATAAAAGCTAGTTATGGGTTTTGATTGAGAGAACAAACTAATTAAAACAATAAAAGTAAACTAATAAAACAAGTAAAAAGAGGTGGATCAAATGAAACTTTATAATAAAAGCTAGTTAGGGGTTTTGATTGAGAGAACGAACTAATTAAAACAATAAAAGTAAACTAATAAAATAAGTAAAAAAGAGGTTGATCGAAGGAAACTTTATCATAAAAGCTAGTTAGGGGTTTTGATTGAGAGAACAAACTAATTAAAACAATAAAAGTAAACTAATAAAACAAGTAAAAAGAGGCGGATCGAAGATAACTTTATAATAAAAACTAGTTAGGGGTTTTGATTTCACCTCACTAGACAATATCTATCCAAATCAAGAGCTTGTTAAGAAATTTCACTCTAATCATTAATCATGAGTTTTCTAATGTAATCTCACACACTCTCCCGAGTACCGAGTAAAATAATACGCAAAATAAATCAAGTAATATCCCTATTAACCGAATCCATTAAGGGTTATTAAGCACAAACCCATTTAGTGATTACCTAAATTATATTGGCCTCCTGAACTTGCTAAACTTAGGTTGTGTTTCTCAAATTCCAATATGTGCAAATGACTTTCTCAAGACTAAATCCACATATCTAAATCTCTAATTTAATGGATAATCAAATTAGACAATAAACATAGAGAAAACACAAAAGATTAAAAATGAATTTAATTAACAAAGCACTAAAAATTTCAAAAAATTGCCATGATAAAGTTACATCAATCCTCTCTAAAATAGTATAAAGTCAATAGTACTAATAAACAGAAATCAAACTTCTATAGTAATCTTTTTTTGATCATTTAGTCACAAATTAGTTTCCAAATTCTCTGAAATTAAACTCCCGTTAAAGACTACATTGGCAAGAAAAAAAAAAAGGAAAAAAAAGAAAGAAAGAAAGAATGAAAGTGGCAAAGCATGAAAAGTTTTGGGAACAACAGTATTGATAACCTTTAATTTAAACATAGTTATATTATTTGTTTCAATTGTAATATCGGATCTGTGGTTATACCGTAATAATTATATATATATATATGTAAAAAAAAAAAATGAGGAACTATCCATTCTACGTCCCCATGGCTAATACTGAGAATCATACATATATGGAAAGTATTATTCATGCAATCTACGACTAAATTTTTACAAGAATGTAATGCTTAGCGGTTTTGATATATGCGAGTTAGTTTATATTAGGATATCCAACTATTTTTTATAAATGTTATCTATTAATCCACGTAATAACTAATAAATAACTAATTAAAACATATCCACAAATATATAATTGGGTAAGTTACCTAGACCATCAAATTGAGAAATCTCCTAATATTAAAAAAATAATAAAATCAATAAAAATAGAATAATAAAATCAACAACAAAAAAAGTGGAAATATCCTACAGGCTACTGGAATGAAATGGGACGTAGCCCTTTAAATATATGCGAGTTTATATATATATATATATAATCCAAGTAATAACTAATTAAAAAATAAAAGAAACGAGAGAATACAATGATTTGACATTGTTTATCCGCAAGGTGTCTATGGGTGGGTTTGGTATTGATTTTAGGAGAGAAAAAGATC